GGGGGGGGGGTGTTGAATAATATATTGGGAAGCAAAGCTCTTCATATGTTAGAATGTACCTAAAAGTTGACTACTTGTGCCAGGAGAGGCAGGTCTCTAAGTGCATGGATGTATATAGTAGGTGGGTACACACTGTAAGAGTAGATATGCTCCATATTTCAACGTCTGTAACACACACACACACCTTCAGCTCTTAGGCACATTAGTTTTGTAAGAAACTACTGCTTACATGGTAGGTTGTTTTGTTGCCAGTAATTTCTGATTTCTTGAAAAGAAAAAGTACCTGGGGTTCAGATATACACACCATAGAAAATCTTTTCTTGTTGCTGCATAAAGCTATTTTAAAGGAACACACAATACTGGGGAGGAGTAAGGTGGTACTTTCCGACACAGCCGATTCTGTTTCCACCGCAGATGAACTATGTCTTCCGACGATCTACTAACTCCACTCTGCCACCTCCGGTGTGTGCTCAGGTAGACTGGCAGCAAGGGGACCCAGTTCAGCCAGTTTTTAATGTGCTGTTTAATGAAAAATAAATTCTTCTGTATCTCTTTCAAATGTTCCACTATCAAATACATTTGCTGCAAAACTTTAATTTCAATAAAATATAAGCACCATGTGTTCCATTGATAATAAAATGGGTCTGTGTTTTAATAGATATTCCCTGGATTTGCTTTATGGATTACAATGAATGATGTGTTAAGACTGATTTTAATGTGGCCAAAAGATAGCAAAATTATTAAACATTGACAGCAACATTTTAGCAGTAAAACTTCAAAATTGAAAGCAAAATGTTTCCCTATACTACAATCATCGGGGAAGTGCTATGTGCCCCTGGTTACAAATCCTTGAAAACCCACTCGTGTTGGTCTCACAAATGCATGATTTCTTCCTATTCCCACTCCAATGGACCCCCCCCCCAAGTGAGGCGCTATGATCTCTCTCAAGGACTTCACATTGTGATATTGCTATAAAGTGCCACGCAGCAAAGAATGGTGGCAGGCGATGTACCTGCTCACTTCCATGTCCCTGGAACTCCCCAGAGGAAACATGCTTGTTAGAAAGAAACTTAACAGGTCGACCAAAAGCTTATGAAAAAAATTGCATCACAAGAGAAAATGAAAATCTAATACTCTCCTCTCCCATGATGTGCCCTCTACTCTCTACATTTCAGTCGTTCTAACGACTGCAGAGAAGGCCGTTTGTGATGAAGAAAAAGAAACAGGTAAACACTTTCTGTGCGGAAGGTCCTTTTTGAAGCAACTGCCTCTTGCTCCTTGGATCACGGACTTTTTAGGCCAGTCTTTTCCAACCAGCCGGAGAAGAGCTGCGGGTCAGCCAGCCCGCCTCTGCACCCTCAGAGGACGCACCTGGGTCGTGGAAGTTCCAGCTGAGAGTCTGAAGCAGCCCACAGACCAGCTGGATTCCAGGGGCTCCTCTTTGGGTCCCCAGTGTTTACATCCTGTGTTATCAGAGACTGGTAAGGGCCTGGGGAAAGGCAGCCAAGATTTAGCTTTTCTCTCATCTAGGTAACTGGGGAGTTGTGGCTCATGTACCTGCTTGTTCCCTGGATGGAAAACCCGTAGGAGTTTGGGCCAAAGCTCAAGGGCATTTCAATTGCCTGAGTCCCCTGCCTCTTCCTACAGCACCCAGCGCAGGGTTTCCAGCTCTTGTGACTGGATGAAGGTGCAGAGTCCCAGGCTTCTCGAACTTAGTCCACCTGAGATATGGGGCAACGAGCGCAACACTTACAACAACTTTTTAAAATGTATTACACCTGTAACGATATTAAAAGCACAAGATGCAAGAGGAAGTTCTATGTAGAAAGCACTTTATTATTTTCATTTCCAGTACATCAGTTATTTTAGGGAAGTATCAGGTATACATTTTTAAGGAAATGAAGAAAAATTAGGTAACAGTTACAATTAGATGAATTTTCAAAAGTGAAAAAAAAAAGGCCAATAAACCTGTTTGAGGTTCAAAGGTGAGATTCTGCAAAGGTACAAATTAGGATTAAAGATTCTTTTTGATGTGTATTTTTCTGATTATCTCCTGAAAAACTTCTTGCAGAGGACAAGTAAAAGTATGACAAATTACTTCGCATGTGAGGTCAGTGAAGGGGAGGGAAGGATACATTGACTTGAACTGAACTGAATTCTATTCAAAGACCTGGTCCTGGCAAGGAGGCTCTGCCTCTGAGGGCACCTCCTCCGCCTGCCGCCTCCGCGAGGCTTGCGCTCGGGGTGCCCGCTCTTCGCGGGCCTTCTTCAGGGTGGCAGTGCCATTTCCATAGCTAGGGACTCATGCACCAGCTCCACCTTGATCCAGGTCTTAACAGCCATAGGTTCTGCTCTTATACACAATTCATTCTAAAACTCAGCAAAGATCTAGAAGTGCTTTGTCGCCTAACGTGTTTTTCAGTATCCGTGTTTTTCAACCTGGGGGTGCAGTCTTCAGAGGCACACCCTTCTTTCTCTCCACCACTGCTCTTCTCTCCTTTCTCTCCACCACTGCTCTTCTCTCTCCTTTTTGTGACAACTGTCCCCCTAACTTGTCCTTAGTCTCGTTTTTAATTTTTTTTTTAAACCTCATTCAAGGATATTTTTTCCATTGCTTTTGAGAGAGAGAGAGACAGAGAGAAACATTGATGTGAGAGAGACACATCGATACATTGCCTCCCGCACGCCCCCAACCTGGGCCCGGGATGGAGCCTGCAATCGAGTTACGTGCCCCTGGCCGCAATCGAACCCAGGACCCTTCAGTCCACAGGCCNCGATACGTTGCCTCCCGCACGCCCCCAACCTGGGCCCGGGATGGAGCCTGCAATCGAGTTACGTGCCCTTGGCCGCAATCGAACCCAGGACCCTTCAGTCCACAGGCCGACGCTCTAACCACTGAGCCAAACCGGCTAGGGCTGTTCTGATTTNAGTTACGTGCCCCTGGCCGCAATCGAACCCAGGACCCTTCAGTCCACAGGCCGACGCTCTAACCACTGAGCCAAACCGGCTAGGGCTGTTCTCTGCTCTCTGCTCCCTGTGACGAATAAAAACGCTCAATACTTCTCACTGCTGGTAGTGATAGAGAAAACCTGTCTGCCTCTGAAGATGCAGAATGACAGAGGGGGCCACTCGAAGTGTTTGCCTGTTTTCACTTTTTTCTCCACACGACTGAAGCAAAGGCATTTATATCCCTTCCATGTCTAGAACTAAATTACTTGACCTCGCTGGATCTCTGTTACCTCTTCTGTAAAAGGAGGTGGGTCTACTACTAATACTGTATTAACTGATTAATGCATTCAATAAATATTTATTCTACTGATTCAAGTACTCTTAAATTACGTCAGGTAATGAAACCAAAGATCTACACATTTGGATCCCCTGAGAACCGCAGTTAATAACCTGTGAATGAAAATATATTTTAAATAATCCAATTAATAACATTCTATAAACAATAAATCCTGATTCTTCTTCTTGCCTGGAAGTTTTTATTCTCTATCCAAGCTTCTGCAAATACCACCTATTTTCCACTTGAGCTGATCACAGCTTGGCTGCTTGCAAAACAAAAGGCTTCACTAGGCTACTGGGAAGAATGACCTATATGAAGTCATTATAGAGAGCGGAATTCAAGTTACAGTTGAAGGCCTTTTGTGTGGGCTTGTGCTCCTAGATGCATTATTTCTTCCACACATAACTGTTTGAGAAGGTGCCACCTACTCAACTTTACAACTAAAACTCAGTTTCTTGACACCATATGTGTTTTAGGAAAATTTCTTTCAGTGCATACCCACAGCTTATACCATAATACATATCTCAAATGTGTTAGTGGGATTAGGAATTGCATTATAATTGAATTGAATGTGAAAATATTTTGTGTCTTCATTTTTAATATTTTATGTATGTCTCCCGTTACAAAGCATTCGCTAAGGAAGGAGCTGGTATTGAGTGAGACAAGCATTAAGAGAAGATTGGTTCTTAATATACAGTATGCTGGCTTAAACTTCTCATTTTCAATCTCAAAAATGACTGATTAAAATAGAAATGCACTTTTGATTCCTAATTTCCACCTACACCTGTGACTTTATGAACATTGTAAAGCAGCTGCATCAGCATCTTTTAGAACACAATTTCTGACTTTCCCTTAAAAGTTGATGGGGTCCTAAATTTCCCCAGCAAAGGGGCTTCTGTGTGTATGTGCACATGCGTATGTAGGTTACTGTCAGTCTATCTGAATTAGGGCAGTTCTCCTGGTAGCCAAAGTTAACTCAGGAGACTATTTTAAATGGATAAGTTCTAGGACAGCTGTGTGACATAATTAGCAACAAAATGGCTTAAGACTAACGATAATTTTACTAGCTATTAAAGTGACAGACTTGTAATAGTGCTTTGCTGTGATATATTTCTTACAAATTCTTCAAAATGTTAAGTCCTCTCATTATAATAATTGCACGGCTGATTAGTCTTCCATCTGGTGCCTATATGAATCTAGGAGATACATAAACTGTTTCTGAAGATAGTACAAAAGGG